CCTGCCACGACAGCCGCACCTACACCACCAGCACCAACGACTACAGCTCCACCAGTAGGTAAGGAAACACCTGATTGGTTAACTACTTAGTCAAGAATTTAACGGGTAAATTTCTGGAATATTAATATTAAAGGACGCTATCCTGAGTTGCGTATCATGAAATACGGCATGGTTTTTTTGGGCTATTTAGTGCATCGTGGCCTCTAAATCGCTGCTTACTGCGTATTCTGCATTCAGCTAGCTTTCAACTGGCGTATTTCACTTAGAGAGTCTTCGGAGATCTAGTGGAAAAATATCATTCGAATGAGTAGGCTAACACTGTAACGTTAAAATAAATGGATCGACTGTAACTACAGTGAAATAGGGCGTAATATATAGGCTATTTCCCGCTTCACGATCTTTGAATCGTTATATAATGGGGAATTTGCATTAAATTGGCCGTTAGTAGAAGTATTTAACTTAGAAATCTGAGGAGATATGCTAGAGGAAAAAAAAGTATTTACACGAGACAAGTACATGTCGTCACTGGTGAATCAGATAAACTTGTACATGTCTTGATCTCGCGGCGACCCGACAGGCCGGAAACATAGCACGTGACATAGGTTATTTCTTTCCTTCTTTTGTTTTTGACTGTCTGTCTGTTTTTTAACACAGCACATGTCATAGGTTATTTAACTCGAACTGACCTCAAATAATTTAATTTTGAGGAATCTGTTTTACGTTAGCCATGAATTAACACATAACGTTAAAAATCCCCTCTAAAGACATATTATGATATTATGATATATTTTAGCCAATGTGTATGAAAAAGCAATTTTACACATGGGTTTATACAGTGACATTATATATTTTAATGTAATATAACCGTGTAAGTACCAATAATTGTGTTGTGAAGAAAAAATGCGTGTCATTGTGTTATAATTATCATTCTTTTTAATTTTTCGTCGTTCAGTAAAACTTTCACGACCCATCAATTTGCGGCTTTGCGCTTTTATTGATTTATTCTAATTATTATTTTTTTTAAATTTTTCTCGTAATTGCTTAGCCTTTGGTTGCAACTTTGATACATCCATGTGCGGATTTCTTCAGGACAAAAATGACAAGTTTGATTGGACTCGAAATAAAGGAGGCACTCCGTCTACTGGTACGGGACCATCCACTGACCACACCAACGGAAATGGTATGCAAAATTTGTCCTTTATTGCGTTTCCCTCGTCTCCTTCCATAACGTTCCACTTGTTTCATTTGTGATCAACCGTTTCAGAGGCGGCCGGTTTTGGTTTATTTGGCTGAAGAGTCCTAAGAGAACATTTTCTTGACCATTTCCGCTAATGGTTACATAACGTTTTGTCCTAATTCTGTTGGGATAAACTGTTTTCAGATGGTTGGTTCAAAACGTGTCTCATCGGGAATATCCAAGCCGATTAACCGTTTAAACATCTGGTTTGTTTTCGTTTGTAACGTTGATGACATTATTTCAATAGGGTGCATAATTACAGCCAAGACTGTAGTTTCTCTTATGGCCCTATACATGAACCTAATTACATCCTGACTAATTACAGGAAGTTTAAACATTACAACATAGGATACTAAGCTACTAGAATGTTACAATAATAGGAACTAAGTTTCTCAGGATGCTAAGTTATAAAAATGAAACCACAGTCCATTAGGAAATTGAAATATTCTGTCAATTTTAAAGCTATCAGGAGTGAATTTACGCATGATGTAGTTAAAGTAGTTTCTTCTGAGATCGGCCGAATAGATACAATCATTAAGAGCATTAAAAAATAAACTTTTCAAGTAAACCAACCAAAAAGGTGTTTTTCCAAGCTGTAGGACACGAAAAAAGCTAACCAGCCCAACCAACCAAAGAAAAGAGATCCTCTCAGACTATAGGGCCTTGAGTAATACTGTTTACTTTGAATATTTATCTATGCTTAGACACTGTGTACTAATTTTAGGAACTTTTCGGTTTGACAAAGTTTAGTTCATGGTTGTTCATTCGTCCAAATTTCGGATTCCTGGTGTAATTTTCTGCTTCGATAAAATGTTTGGAACTCGTTGCAGTAGACTTACTCTTTAATTTATTTGCGAATCTACCACTGTTAAATTTACAGGTAAAAAATTAGAGCGTCCTCAATAGGATATCCAAAACGTTAAGTTTTCAGAATGTACGAACTCACACTCGGTTGCGTGACGCCAAAGTTAGTGCTTTTTCAAAAAACAAGAAAATTTTATTCAATTAAGCACAGAGTGCCATATTATGTTGAAAGTAAGGAACAAAGAGTACCTCGTCCTTTCACTTGGTCGCAGACGACAAAAACCAGAATTAACGATAACATGAATAAATGCCAAAAGCCAAAAACATAGAGCAGTTTTAACAGAAGTCACGAAAACATTTTTTTTGTAATCTTCCAATCTTTACAGGATACTACATGTACACGGAAACATCAAGTCCTCGACGGCAAGGTGACAATGCAAAACTAAATAGCCCCAAGCTGCAATTCAGCGGGAGCATGTGTCTTCAGTTCTTTTATCACATGTATGGTTCAGCCGTGGGGACATTTAATGTGGAAGTAAATGGAGTAAACGTGTTCAGTAAAAGTGGAGACCAAGGCAACATTTGGCATGAAGTGAAAAAAGATGTAAATTTATCGGGAATGTACACGGTAAGAGACTTTTTCCGGGCC